CTTTGAGGGAGGCATATCATTGAATTCCCTATACTTAGGCTGGCCATACACTATACAATTTTCTTTAAAAAATTGCTTTAGATTTACCAAAAACTATATAATATGAGGTCAAACATAAACAACACTTTTCAATTGTATCTAATTAAGCGGGCCCTTGCACTACACAGTTGAAGGTAAATCTAAAGAAAATTGGGCAGAAATTGGACAGAAAATTGTATAGTTTTTATGGCCAGCCTTACTCTTTTTATTGAAGTTCATTATCTTGATCTGCACTCCTCCTAAATGCTCTAACTTCCTCAGGTCCTATTCCCCTTGAGGGATTTTATGACTTGCTTGTTTAACAAGGATCAGTTTCCACTACCATGTCTGTGAATTTATTAAAAAGGAAAAACTGAAATATCACATGTACTTAAGTCTCCATACCCTTTACTCAGTACTTTGCTGAAGCACCTTTGACAGCAGTGTTGTTGTTGTGGTGTTGGGCAGGTGAAGAATGCTACCTAGTTTCCTTCAGACATACCATTTACATTTGAGGCCAAACGGTTCAATCTTGGTTTTATCAGACCAGAGAATCTTGTTCCTCAGAGTCTGAGTGTCCTTCAGGTGCTTTTTTTTTTTATTTTTTTTTTTTTTATTTTAATCTCCAAGCAGGCTTTCGTGTATTCTACACTAAGGAGAAGCTTCTGTCTAACCAATCTGTCATAAAGCGCAGATCAGTGGAGAGCTGCAGTGATGGTTGTCCTTCTGGGACTTTGTCCCATCTGGACACAGGATCTCTGGAGCTCAGTCAGAGAGACCATCACGTTCTTGGTCACCTTGCTTACTAAGGCCCTTCACCCCCGATTGCTCAGTTTAGCCGGGGACCAGCTCTTGGAAGCCTCCTGGTTGTGCCAAACTGGTTCCTTTTCAGATTTATGGAGGCCACTGTGCTCTTGGGAACCTTCAGTGCTGGAGAATTTTTTGTAGCCTTCCCCAGATCTGTGATTTGCAATAATGCTATCTCTGATCTCTACAGGCAGTTCCTTTTAACCTACATAAAACACATTTTATTACAAAATATTATAATAAGGTAATGCACCCATAAAAGCAATAAGTGGATAGCACATAAAGCATTCAGTACAATCAACCCCAAAGTACCTTCCTTAGTAAATGATTTGGTGTAACATGCAATAATATGTTTGGATGATACAGAATGAAGGTGTCATCTCCCAATTTGTTTTGCCGGATGGGCTTCTTCAGGGGTTCAGATAGGGTGCACTGTTGATGTAAAACATACATTGTAATTTTATACAAATATTCAGCTTTTTTTTCTTCATATTGCAACATGCATTTTGTGTTAACAATCAGATTCAAAGATACAAAATACATAAACTTTACCCATACTGACGATTATTCCAACATTACGCAACCATATAGAGAGGGGGGACAATTGGATGGAGACTAACAAGGAGCATAATGGCGGGGCCCTACCCAGGAGACCAGAGGACACCAGTGGATGGGGAGGGGAGTACAGTTTCCCCAAGCTGTAATGTAATCTGTAAACCGAACAAACAACATATAGAGGTATGTATTTCTGTAATTTTTGTTGAGGCTAGGGCAGGATGGGGCGGAATGTGTGGAGGGGGTATATACCTTACACAGAAAAAAACATCCTTCACAACCTAACTGACAAACATATATGGCAAAAGAATACAATCCCATAGACAACCTGAGACATTACCACCCTCAACATACAGCCAACCATTATCTATGCATACCTTGTGTGTGGCCTGAATCAATATGCAAGGCCATATCAGTGAGATACCTTATGCAACCCTTCTAAACAAATGGCAGGGCTCGAGATGGTAGACCATAGTATTTAAATGGCTAAGCATACCTATGTAATTAATACAACTATGTATGTAACTATATGTGTAATGGAGTGATGTTGGAAGTTAAAGCAGAACTCAATGTAAAATTGTTTTTGTCCCATGTAGTGGGGCTGTGCCCGTACTGCACGGGATAAGTGCATGTTTTTTGTCCAGGGGTTTAGGGAAAAGCTATACTTACCCTGTCCTCCGATTCACCAGAAAACCGCGCTCCCCCACGTTTAGAGGTAGACTGTTCCTGCCGTCCTCACGCCCGGAGCTGGTCTATGGGCATGATGGCATCAGCAACAGTACATTCACAAGACTGCTAGCGTGCAGGGGGACATTAGCAGCAGGGACCGATTTTTTTTCCGCTTGAAGGATCAGTGGATTCGGTAAGTATATCTTCACTCTTATCACCCCTAGACAAAAATGAGCAGTTAGCACATGCAGTGCGGACGCAGCCCCACTGCATGGTACAAAATTTTTTTCCCCAGAATTCTGCTTTAACCAGTATACCATGGATTATTTCATCCACTGGGTTACATTGCCCCACACTTGTTTGGATCAATATGCAAGGCCAGCCTGCACATAATAGACAGACTACCACACACAAGGCATCTTTATATGCTTTTATGCTTAGCTAATGGTTGGCTGTATGTTGGTGGTGGTAATGTCTCAGATTGACTGTGGGGTTATATTTTTTTCCAGGTCTCCCAGGTGGGGCCCCGCCATTGTGCTCCTTGTTGTTCTCCATCTAATTGTCCCTCTCCCTATATGGCCATGTTGTTATGTTGGGATGATCATCAGTATGGGTAAAGTTTGTATTTTGTATCGTTTAATCTGATTGTTAATACAAAATGCATGTTGCAAGATGAAGCTAAAACTAATTATTTGTATAATTACAGTATATGTTTTACATTAACAGTACACCCTATCTGAACCCCTGACGAAGTCCATCCGGCGAAACGCGATGGAGGATATCATATATAAATCATATCATATAAACATATCAGGGTTCACTGTACTGAATTCTTTGTGATATCATCCACTTATTGCTTTTATGGGGTGTATTTCCTGATTTTATTCATTTGTAATGAAATATGATGCGTTTCATGTAAGGTTGTGTACAAGTAATCTTTTCTTGAGGGTGAGAAAGCACCTTAAAAGTCCCATACATTTTGATTTCTTTTTGATATAACTGTAGTTTCAGGCTGCAACCTAACAAAAATGAAAAAAGTGAAGGGGGTCGGAATACATTATGAATGCACTCTATTTCCCTAATCCTTGAATCTAATTAAAGTGGAATTCCATTTAAAGTTAAAAATGTACCCTTACTTAGAGTATATGAGGAGTATATTAAACTAGGGTTGCACCGGTACTTTTTTTTTTTTTCTCTTTTTATATCGGCTAGTACGAGTACCGATACTTATGCTCAAGTACTTGCTGATATAGATTGCCAGTACCTTTTGCAATGTCATTTGAGCCAATAAAAAAATGAATGGGCTCAAATCGCACTAGCAAAGAAATGCATGGGTTTGAACGTTGCAATTTCTGTCCGAATCAAATGCAGTTTCCCTGTGGATGCTGTGCGATTTGCAGTACGATTTTGAGCCATACAAAATAAATTGGGCTGAAATCATACTGCACCCGCAGAGAAACAGCATGAGATTCGGACAGGAATCGCACTGCCACAACAGCTAGCAAGTAGCACAATTTCAGTTCAGATCACATGCGATTCTTTTGAAGTGTGGTTTGGGCACATTCATTTTGTGTAGGCTCAGATAGCACTGCAAAGGTATTGGCTTCAAGTATCAGAGCATGTGTACGAGTACTTGCGCACATGCTTAGTATCAGTATTGGTTCAACCTTACAGTAAACATTTATATTAAGCACTATTCGGATTGCCAAATATCTAATTAAAAAAGTCTAAACTTCATTTAGTGACCCTCCTGTCCCTTTTACTGATAACAGTTGCCCTGTGCAGCCAAATGTCACTGCACACAGGCACTTCCTGGAGCCATTGTTGGTCCCTGCTTAAGCAGCCATATTAAAGCCCACCCCTTCCAGACATCACAGGCTCTTGTGAATGCGTTTATGAAAAATAAAAGCAAGCTACTGGCGCTATAGGAATAATAAAAATTAAACAATTTCCACAGGAGGGCTGGCAGATGGTCCAGTCCACAAATACAGCTGTACACAGGCTTTAATTAAAACTGGTCAGGGGAGCAAAAAGCTGGCTGCAGGAAGAACTGTCAATGTAGCTGGAAGTGCTCTGGGATGTCAGCACAACTCATACTGCACAATGCCCACCCTGACTAATGATCCAGGGGTCTAGTCCAAGTACAGAAAGTGCTGCTAATGGAAAGCACAAAGGCACAGGCTGGGTACTCTCATGAACAAGCACTGGAAGGTCTGGTCCAGGGGTTGGATGACAAAAAGACAGTGTATCCTTGCTGGCTTTGCCCTGAAGGCTGGATGCAGTGTGAGCTGTCCGAGCAGGACTGGAGCACACTCTCCCTACTCCCAACATCTCCAAGGCATCTCTTTGCTCCTTTCTTTAGGGCCGGTTCACTATGAATTGCACAGTAATGTGATTTTCTTGTGATCTGGGTGCAGTGGCGATTTCAGTTTCGTCTTTTTAATGGGCTGAAATCATGCTAGACCGCAGCAAAAGTAGTGCATGCACTGCTTTAAAAAATGCATCACATCACAGGTTTGTGACCTGTGTTTGGGTCTCGGTAAGTTAAAATTAAAGTGTTACTAAACCTGTTCTGTGTACTGTGGGAGACCAGATAGAGTGAATACAGGGTCCTGGGTTTAGTAACATTTTAACACCCGCTGCAGATTGCAACTGTAGTATGTTTTGAATGTGGTGTGAATGGGCCCTTAAACAGCAAATCTTTGTTTGATAGCTTTATTTGTAGTAAAGCCTGATTGCCTTATATTGCTGCCCTTCTTTTTCAAAATCTAAATACTAATATGCAGGGGTTACAGGAGAATAGTATAAATTTGAGTTGAGATACTGTTTTAAAATATGTAAACTTTTTACTGGATTTACAGTTGCCTACACTCTCAGTTTAATTACAGGCCAAATATTCAAATGTTTTTTATTTTTATTTTCTTTTTTGCTTTTTTTTTTTTTTATCCTAGGAAGGCTTATGCACCTGTATGCTGTATGTGTGGACTGTTTAGAAGGAGTTCACAAAATCATCTGCATCAAATGCAAATCTCGATGGGATGGAAGCTGGCATCAGCTTGGAACGATGTACACTTATGATATATTGGCAGCTTCCCCATGCTGTCAGGTAGGTTTTTAAAAGTTCTTACAAACATAACAATTATTTTTTCCTTTTCTGCTTGTTTGCTTTGTCACAATGTGTTTAAAAGAGAGTGATTGTAATTCATTCATCTTCGTGACTGTATGAATGAGTATTAACCACTTGCCCTCCTGAGGATTTACCCCCCTCCCTGACCAGGCAATTTTTTGCATTTTGGCGCTGCGTTACTTTAACTGACACTTGTGTGGTCATGCAATGCTGCGCCCAAATGAAATTTGTTTTTTTTTTTTTTCCCCATGAATTGAGTATTTGATCGCCTGTGTGGTGTTTTTGTTTTTTTTTTTGTTTTTTTTGCAGTAGCAAAAATATATATTTGTTTTTATATTAAACATGTCCAGTGAAAAAAAAAAAAAAAAATTAAATAAAATTTCATTATAAGTTTAGGCCAAAATGGATTCTGCTACGTCTTTACTAAAACAAAAAGATCACAATCCGTGTAAATTTAATGGTTTATATGAAAGTTTTAGCGTTTACAAATGGCGGTATATATATACTGGAATTTTTTTTCATTTTTACTAGTAATGCCGGCAATCAGAAACTTATTGTGGGACTGCGGCGGGTATTCTGACACTGGGGGAAACTGACTTGGTATCACTGACATGCCCAGTGACAAAAAGCACTGACACTGTACTAATGGCACTGAACAGGAAGGGGTTAACATGAGGGGCGATCAAAGGGTTATCTGTGTGCTGTTTTACTTGGGTCTGTGCTTCACTGTAATCACACTGCTTTGGATGGCTGTGCTGTGCACAGCCATCCAAAGCAGTATGCACAAGCTGATGGGGAGGGAACTGTATTGTTTACATACACTTCTCCTCCCCATCGGAGATGCTCGTCAATCACCGGGCGCCGGCGAGTAATCACCAGCTGCGACCCGGTGATTGATGGCCGCGATGATTGACCCGGAAATGCAAAATCACGTATATATACACACGTGATTTTGCGCACCCGTGCTGCTCTGTAGCAGTATATCTGCTATAGGGCGGTCGAGAAGCGGTTACAGAAAAAATAAAACCTGTGGTATTATAATGTAGGTTTTGCAGTTGCATTTTGCTTCCAAACCAATTTAGTGCCTGAGCTATGCTGGGGAAACCTAGGAACATTTGTACATAGATATACAGCATGTAAAATATGTATTGAACACGTAACCATTTTTCTCGGTAAGTATATTTCTAAAGGTGCTATTGACATGAAATTTTCACTACATGTCGGTAACAACCAATGCAATCTATACATACAAAGAAACCAGAACAAATTAATTCAGAAATTTAAGTTATGTGTAATAAAATGGAATGACACAGGGAAAAAGTATTGAACACTTGAAGAAAGGGAGGTTCAAAAAGGCATGGAAAGCCAAGACAGCAGCTGAAATCCATCAGTAGTTATAAAGTAATTCTGCCCCTTGTTAGTGCAAATTATCAGCTGGTTCAGGCTCAACTTATGTCCTATAAAAAGGGAGTCTCATTACCAAGGTGTCACATCTCATGATGGGTAAAAGCAAAGAGCTCTCTCAAGACCTTCACAAGCTTATTGTTGCAAAACATACCGATGGCATTGGTTACAGAAGGATTTCTAAACTTTCTGAATGTTCCAGTGAGCACTGTTGGGGCCATAATCAGGAAGTTGAAAGAACATCATTTCACCATAAACCGTCCACGACCAAGTGCTCCTCGCAAGATTTCTGAAAAAAGAGGGAGAAGAATTATCAGAAGAGTTGTCCAAGAGCCAAGGACCACTTGTGGAGAACTTCAGAAAGACCTGGAATTAGCAGGTACAATTGTTTCAAAGAAAACAATAAGTAATGCACTCAACCGCCATGGCCTGTATGTACGTAGGACTCCATTGCTTAAGAAAAAGCATGTTGAAGCTTGTTTAAAGTTAGCTACACAACATTTAGACAAGCCTGTGAAATACTGGGAGAATATAGTCTGGTCAGGTGAGACCAAAATTGAACTCTTTGGATGCTATAATACACATCATGTTTGGAGGTCAAATGGCACTGCACATCACCCCAAAATACAGCATACCACCAGTGAAGTTGATGAATGGGAAAAATGTAGAAAGACATTCTAGAAAAAAAATCGTCTGCCATCTACCAGGCTGATGAAAATGAAACAAGGGTGGACATTTTAGCAAGACAATGATCCCAAACACAAAGCCATGGAAACTCTACATTGGTTTCAAAGAGAGAAAGAAAATAAAGCTGCTAGAATGTCCCAGCCAATCACCTGACCTGAATCCAATAGAAAATCTTTGGAAGGAACTAAAGATCAGAGTTCACAGAAGAGGCCCACTGAACCTTCAAGATTTGAAGACTGAGGAAGAATGGGTCAAAATCGCACCTGAGCAATGCATGCGACTAGTTTCTCTATACAAGAGGCGTCTAGAAGCTGTCGTTTCCAACAAAGGATTTTGTACCAAGTATTAAATTTCAGTTAGCATGTTCAATAAATTTTCCCTGTGTCATTCCATTTTATTACACATAACCTAATTTCTGAACTTATTTGTTTTGGTTTCTTTGTAAAAATGGATTGAATGGGTTGTTACCGACATGAAAATTTCATGTCAATAGCACCTAGAAATATATTTACTGAGAAAAATGGTGACGTGATACTTATTTTACCCTCTGTACATACAGAAGCTACTAGTGACGTGTCATGATGTGAGCCTCCACACGCAAAGGAATAAAACTATGATCTATTTCCTTCCAAATTATTTTATTGACGTCAAAGATGAAAGGTATTACTTTCATGTATAATGTCACATTGCAAGGCTAGTTCACCAGCAAATAAAATGTATAACAATGGCAATGTGTCCAAATTAGTACATAGTAACCACTACTGAAAAGGCAGCATATCAAATGAGCATATCAAAGCATTATAGGCCTGAGCATTTGAGATCTATGGGAATTTAGAAGAAATATATCTAGGTTGGGAACCAAAGAAAAGTTATGAGTGTACAATGATCTATAGCAGGGGGTGTCCAACCTTTTGACCTTCCTGGGCCACATTGGAAAAAGAGGAATTGTCTTGGGCTGCACATAAATACACTAACAATAAGGATTGCCTGTGGTGATCGCTACTGGATACAGACAAAGTGGGGTTTATTTACTAAAGCTGGAGAGTGCAAAATCAGGCTCATTGCTGCATAGAAATCACTCAGCTTCTAATCTCAGCTTGTTCAATTAAACTTCGCCAATAAAACTGGAAGCTGATAGGTTTCTATGCAGGAGTGTGCCTGATTTTGTACTTTCCAGCCTTCGTAAATATACCCCAACGTATTCAACAGTGAAATAAAGTGCAGTGCTAAAATTGGGTAAATAAAAGCATCAAAATCAACCAATTATTAAATTAGAGAAAATATAATATATAAAGTTCATAAAGTGACTATTAGTGCAAATAGGAATCCTGTGTTCATCTGAGATTCTGTGCTTGTGCAATCAGGTGTGGAAGAAATGCGCACTCACCGGAACGCATAATAAAATGCGCATTGGTTTTTAAAATCCTGATGTCATCAAGGTTGTCCAAATCTGGGCAGGAATAAGGTTAAATCCCTCACTGGATAGGTATGGATCCTAAGGCTTCTGATGTAAACCGGAAAGGTGCCAGAGATCCCTTTAAGGGATGGACAGGTCAGCTCACCAGGTGTACAGGGGCTCCCTCTGCAATGTATGTAGCTGATTTTAACTGAAAGTTCACTTAGGTTTCAAGCAGTGTTAACCTTATTCTGCGCTCCAGCAAGGTCCCCAGAGTAGTCTTCTTTCTAAAGCATAGCTGGCAGTGCTCACATGTTCGCCCCTTCCATCTGCATTGCAAGGTTAATAGACCTGCACTGTCACGTGGTCATGTACACTCCAGCTGAGGAGTGGACATAAGGTTAACACTGCTTGAAACCTAAGTGAACTTTCAGTTAAAATCAGCTATATACATTGCAGAGGAAGCCCCTGTACACCTGGTGAGCTGACCTGTCCATCCCTTAAAGGGATCTCTGGCACCTTTCCGGTTTACATCAGAAGCCTTAGGATCCATACCTATCCTGTGAGGGATTTAACCTTATTCCTGCCCAGATTTGGACGACCTTGATGACATCAGGATTTTAATAAACCAATGCACATTTTATTATGCGTTCCGGTGAGTGCGCATTTCTTCCACACCTGATTGCACAAGCACCGAATCTCAGATGAACACAGGATTCCTATTTGCACTAATAGTCACTTTATATATTATATTTTATCTAATTTAATAATTGGTTGATTTTGATGCTTTTATTTACCCAATTTTAGCGCTGCACTTTATTTCACATTGTCTGTTTGAGGTTTATTGGTTATCTGTTGTGTTCAGCAGCTTTTTTACACTTTAAGTGCGCTCGCAACCATCTTCTGTTATTTGTATTCAACAGTGATCACCACAGGTAATCCTTGACTGTATAGAGAGCTGCGAATAGGAGTGACTGCTGGCAAACTGTCCTTATATTGAACGGGCCGACAGCGGCACCTAACTGCTGAGAGCTGCAGGAGAAATTGCTGCTACACTTTGCACAAGCCCTAATTGCTGGAGTGAATGTAGCCTATGTATGTGCTGTAGGGGGGAGGGTCACAATTGAAATCTGGGTGTGTGAAGCCCACGCCATCACCCCCCTAGATCTAACCATGCAGCATTTACTTCCTTACTGCCGGTGCAGTTGCAAACATGGCAGCCTCGGCATTGCTCCCGTTGTGCATTTGCCTGGCTTGTTAATGTAGGTTGCCACGACTGCTATGTTTGCATGGCATCCCTACAGCTGGGCTTGTCTGTGTTGGCTGCCGTGGCTGCTGTGCTTGCACGGCATCCCCAGGCATCTCTTCAGACAGACCAGGGCCTCATGCTAAAATCTGGGGCCGGGCCGCATGCAGGCCATGGGTTGGACACCCATGATGTATATAGTCATAAGCAGAAATGTGTGATCCTTTTTATAGTAACTTCTGTTTATCATGTTGTGAATATAACTACAAGAATACTACTTTACTGCAATAATGGATGCATATTCAGAACCTTATTTCTTACTGTTGGAATGGAAAGGTAATACCATGAGTAAAGCTGGGAACATAGATGTTGAGAATGCAGCACTGAGATAATCAATTAATTTAAAGCCTTTTATCACTTTCAGTTTTACTCATCCATTATAGGAGATCTAAACCCAAGAACAAAAATTACATATCTGTTTAAATGTAGTATTAATAGCTGCCTTCTAGTTTTTTTTCCTCTTATTTGGACTACAAAACACCTGCCCCTCTCCTAATCTCCTTAACATAGGACAAAGGTGCTCTGTTACTCACAACCGAAAAGCTGAAATTTTCAGTTCAGTGCACAGAAAGTTGCAGGATTTCTGGCAAGATCAGCAAATATTTCTGTGTTTCCTTGATCAAAAATTAAATACATTGCCATTCCTGAGATGTGGTGGCTACATTAGTTTTTCTTTTTTTGTTCTTTGGATATACTTTAAATTAACTAGCTGTGAATGAATATTTCTTGTACAGCATTTGATACTATATATGTGTTTGATAGGTTTCATAAAAGGAGTCATCGTTTTTTTCTTACAGGCCAGACTGAATTGCAAGCACTGTGGAAAGCCTGTCATTGATGTACGCATTGGAATGCAGTATTTTTCTGAGTACAGCAACGTTCAACAGTGTCCACACTGTGGGAATTTAGACTACCATTTTGTGAAGCCATTCTCCTCATACAAAGTACTAGAGGCTTATTGACAAAAGCTTTGTTTTAGTAATAGCCATTTTATAGGTATTACTAATTTGTTAAAAAATCTTTTATAGGAAATATTCTGTGAAAACAAACTTCTTTTTCTAATTAAAAAAAAAAAAAAAAAAAAAGTTGCAGCTTTTTTTTTTTTTTCTTTGTATTGTGTTACAAAAACTTTGTAAATAGTATTTAGATTTCCCCTGATGGCTGGGGAATACAAAATGGAAATTTGACGGGTGAATGTAAATTTATGCCAGCAAAGTGTATTTTTTCTTTCCTGTTTAAAGAGAACCTGTGCTTCTAGAAATAGAAGAACTGTCATAAAGGACTTTTTTATTGGTACAAGTTCCAGGGTGGTAATCTCAATCTAGATCAATGAATTGAAGTGAAGTGAAGTTGGGTCTATGACCTGCATGTTTGTTCCAGGGCTTAGAATCACTGCATAGTAAAGCAAGGATTAAGATGACCCTTTGCTTGCGCCTTTAAAAAAAACAAGTTCGCAATGACATCTTCCATATTTCTATGCTGCTGGCTTCCCTTTAAGGATTTGATAATAGTTATCTAATTTATGTTTAATAGAAAATAACCTTTGTGACTTAGCACTTAAAAGAAATCACTTTTCACCAAAGTAAACTTGGCCATTTTTAAAAATAAATTTGATATTTAAAGCTGTTTGCTTTTTTTTTAACCAGCCTTTTTCCTGTTGAAGAAATAGGAGCAGAGTTTGATGCCAGTTTTATATGTTTTGCATTTGCTTATAATATAAAGGGTGATGATGAATATAAATCATATTCTTGCCCAAAGTACTTCAAATAAGGTGATGGTCAATCTAAGATATTGAGCATTCATTTTCTCTACAGACATTTGACATAACTATTTTTCATTAGCAGTTTTAATTTTTTTGTGTTTGTGGTACTATCCTGTTTTTATTTCTGAAGAGCACTGAAAACTTTTTTTCTACTGGGTGCTGTATTTATTTTATAAATAATGAATAAATAATAAAAATGTCCTACAAATGTAAAGATGAGCCGCCAAAAGTCTAAACATATGTTTGATATGGAAATTGTATTTTTAGAGGGGCAGTAGTGAAATAAAAACTTTTGTGTGGTGATATATTTTTTTTTTTTTTTTTCAGGAAAGGACACATTAGTCAAAGTATAACAATTAGAGACGTATTAGTACTCTTTCAATGATATACAGTTTAGAGATTGAAAATATGCAAGAAGTAGGAAATAACCAGTGTGATGAGTAAAGCATAGTGCAGTAATCAGTGGGCTACTGAGTGTTTAATTTCACATTGGTTAACAAAATTCTCATGTGGTTGCTGCACTCTGCACTTTACTATTTTGTACCAACATATTTATTAAACGTGTTATGTGGCCATCTTCATTGCACAAATAAAGACAATCTGAAACACTGTCTCGTTTGGGTGGAGTCCCACAAGTTAAACATTATTACTGATTGTTTTACTTATCTAATGTTCTGCACAATTATGTGCATCCTATGATTTTGGAATGTCATGGCAATAGTTGGGCTCCTTGCAGTCTAGAGCAGGCTGCAGTTGAAGGCTGAATGCTGTATGGAGTGATACCTGCGTTTAGGGCCTTATGTGTTCAGTGACGAAGATCTGGAATACAGAAGACGTTGTTCTGGACATTCATCCCTGAATGGAATGTGTGTACTACTCGGTACAGCATTCAGCCCCTAGCGTATGCAGCTTGCTATAGGCTTTGATGGGCTGCTTGCAGGCCAGGAGGTACAAACGTCTCCTAGATAGCCTTGTATGCAAGAGGCCTAAGGTGGTTCTCATGCCAAATCCCCAAGTATATGTGTGTGGTTGAGACACCAATCTAGAGATTATGTTCCAGAATCTGTTTTTAATTTATGTAGTTCCACCCAAACTGTAAGGGTGGGGACAAACTAAAAAAAATAATAGTAGGCATTGCATCGGTTGCAATGCAAATTATTCTGCAGACGTTTTTTCCCCCCATATACATTTCTACCCAGTATAGCATTTTTTTTATTGGTAAAACAGTCAAAATTTACTCTTTCAGCTCTAAATATTAACAGTTGAATAACAGCTGTTAAACTTTTTTACTCCAGCATTGCTATTCAGAACTGTAAAGAAGCACACAGCCATACAGATAATATACATGGTCATTTACAAAACTATATTATATGGGGAGACATTTTCTTGTTTACTGTTTGTAATGGTCTCTTGCTTACACCTATGTTCAGAGCATTCACTAGTAAAGTGTCCAGGTTCCAACCAATCAAATCACATTTTTCACTTTTTAGCTGTCTATAGTAGCAGAGTCCCAGCACATTGACTTTAAAAGAAAAAAGTGCAGCGCTGAATAACTTGGCTGACAGGGATGACAAGAGACCTTCTTAGACAATCATAGGAGAAATGCTTTGGAAGATAAGACACTTCTTTTGGAGAACATGGGAAGTAATTTTGTAATGTCAGCCCTATACATGAAGTTTTCTAATTTTATGTTTTAGCTGAAAAGTCTCAAAGCTGAACTCTAACTACATTTTTTTTTTCATATCGACCTAAAGTGTTTTTTAAAGCTACCCCATAGCCTTACCTTCAATCTTAGAGAGTTCTAGAGCTGTTCAGACTCCTCTCCTGTACTGAAAATAGTTTACTCTGATTTTACTGTGCTTATCACAATCGGCACTGGGGGACAATCGGATGTCCTACATGCACAAGTGCTAACAAAAAAAATGATGACAGAAGAAAGGATAACTTCATCAGTCTGTTGCCTCCTCTCACTATCCAATCAGAGGCGGGTGGGGGGGTAGAAAGATGACCTATGTTGTTTAACCGCAGGAGAAAAAAAGTGAGGTTAACAGACAGGTTGTGCTGTCTGGCAGGGTTTTGCAAATTTCTGGACTGGGTAGACATAAATACAAATCTTTTGACAGCCAAAAATTGATTTATACGGTACATATTTACAGTTTTGTTAATGACCATGTTAATATCTTGTTGGAAAGTAAAGTTAAAGTGGTTCTAAAGCCAAAATGTGTTTTACCTTAATCCTTAATGCATTTCTTGCTTTTATTGCTTTCTTCTCCTCCCCCTTCCTTGTGTGAAGGGGAAGAGAGGGGAGAAGTGATTTAGCACTGTTGCATCTCCTCTTCCCTCCTTTTCTCTTCACACAGGGACATTCTCTTGCTGCTGTCAATCAAATGCAGTGAGGAGGAACCAGGGGGTGGGACTAAGTGTGTGTGTGTGTGTGTGTGTGTGTGTGTGTGTGTGTGTGTGTGGCGCACAGTAGGGGAGTATAACATTTTTTATTCTTTTAGTAAAAAAAAAATAAATGTTCCTTTTTCGTCTAGATGGCTATCTTCTCCCTGTCTTTTCCCTTTTAGGTTCTAGAATAAAAACATGTATCATCAGTTCACTAAAGCATAACGCATGAAGCATTTTCTTTAACTAAGTGCATTAGTTGCTATTTTTTATGAATGAAAATGGTTTTATAAGTTAACTAAATGTTTTGTTGCACAAATCACTTTATTTTACCGTATGCACATAATATCATTGATTTTTGTGCTGCTTTATAGGGGAAGGTCAATTCACAAAGATAAGTACATTTATTGCTTCTTAAAATATTGCTAGCTCCTAGGTGCTGTTAGCTTTAGGTGTTTTGGGAGAAAGGAGAATTTTTTGTATAATGTTGCTTTTTGCCTTTTTCATCTAAACATTTCCTTATGTGGGTTATGTGATGAGCTAAAAACATCAGTGGTTTTAAGGCTTAAATAAAGTAGTCTGTTTCCTGCTTTTGCCATTAGACGACAGCCCACCAGCAATTGTCGGAAACATACATACAGTAAGTGGTGTGTGGCATTGGAAATACTTGCTTTATAAAGACTGGAAAGAAATATAAAACACTTGTTTTCTTGTAGTCCGTTAAGCTCTCCATAGACTGATCAGGTTCAGCAGGGACCGGACAAATTTCGATCAGCCATTCCCTACTTGACGGAAGTCAATCAAAACTTTTGCTTGCTGGGAAAACTTTAGTCAATCCATGGCTACAGCCATTGATCAGTGTGTTCTGATGGCGACTGGTCCCACTGTCGGAATACAATTTCCCAGCAGGGGGGATTCCTCCATCCACCTGCTAGCTGAACAAAAAAAAAAGAAACTACTAGTATATAGCCAGGTTTAGGAAAAACTCTTTCATGTCTTGTCTTTGGTGTGTTGGCCTGCCTTTTGCTATTCTGCTCCATGGAAATGAAAAGCCTTTTGGAAAAATAAAAAAGTATCCAAAGCTCAAGTCAACACAAGACAATGCAATTCATGTTCATGCATGCATTTTGATGTAAACGTAGCTTTACTCATAGTGATGAATTAAGTGTATGGCCATTGTGGGGAGTTAGATTGTAATAATGCTATTTTTCTTCAGCTTTGAACCAAAAACAGTTATAGTAGTAGTATACCATGCCTGCTACAGTTTTACCACCAAACTTTTATATGACCTTAAAGTTGCAGTAGGCAGAGTCTTATGGATGGAAGTATTGAAAATAGAATCTTGGTAGGGGGGATTCTGTATGGGAAAAAATACATCACACTATATTGGATAAAAAGATAATATATCACAAAGCATGATCCTACATGCCCTGTCACCCTAAACCTTATTCTGACCCCAACATTTAATCTTAAGGTGGCTCTAAAGTCATAACATTTTATAACACCTTAATGCATTCTCTGTATTAAGGTAAAATTTGTCCCAGTAGCAGGAGGTACTGGGAGCGCCAGCAGGGGACCCCAGAAGAAGAGGTTCGGAGCAGGTAAGAAGAGCAGCTAAGTATAACATCTTTTTATATTTCAGGTAAAAAAAAAAAAGATCCCTTTTTTAGAACCACTGTAATTTCACCCTCACCTTAAAACTTAACCTTTTGCCCAACACTTCACACTTTTTACTAAACCATAAAACATAACCATTTGCCTGATTCTAAAACTTCTCTATTAACCTTACCTTAATCTTATCTTAACCCTAAA